GTGTCGACGTAACATTTTAAAATGATTTACTTGCCCGTTATAATCAAACGCATTGAAATATCTTCTAAAAAATTTTACAACTGTTGAATTCTTTCGTCAGACGAAATCGTTAATTATTTGGTTACTTAAATTTAAAATTATATTAATATTATCGAATAATTGACGGAAAATTTAAGCACGTTAATAATAATTAGATTAAATTACAAATAATTTCATGTAAATATACATAAATTCGTAACTGATTTACTAGAATAAAATTATTAATATTAATTAAATAAATTACACTTTGACACAAACGCGTGTTAACCGTTTCACACCTCGTCCTGCGTTCATTTCCTCTTGTCGTAATTAATTATATTACAATCATTATCCCTTTGCCGCGTACGATTGTGATGACGTAATAGAGCATAGAGTAAAAAAACGTTATTATGGCGGCAAATTGATTTTTTTGTTTTACACGACGTTCGATTAACGAATAAAACGTTAAAAAATTTTGTATTTTTTATTTTTCTCTTGGAAAACGAAAATTTTGATTATTGAAAAGTGTAAATTAAGTGAGTATAGTAAATCATAGAGTAAAAAACGATCTTGAAAATAATATTTTTCGCTAATAAATAAAAAATAATATTATTATTATGAGACATTAATTTAAAAAATGGAAAATTAATTTTTTTTCTTTTACCGTCGAAATAAATTCGTTTAAAAAAAAATGTATTTATTTTTAAAAAAGAGAAACGAGGGAGATTTTAGGATGCTGGAAGGAACAACGCGCGTATGTGTATGGAGAGGAAAAAAAATTTGTATAAAATTTGAAAAACTTATGACGAGCGTGTATTTACCGGATTTTTTTTTTTTTAATTTTCTAAGCTATATTTAATACAATAAAAGCTTATTAAATGAACGTCAAAACAGCGACAGGAAAATTAAGCTTAATAAATCCGGTTATAAATAATTCCACTGAATGAAACCGTTTTAAAAAGGTTGACCTCCTCCTCCTTCCTTCTTTCACTCATTTCGAATATCCAGAATTTTTTTTCGAATCCATTTTTTTGTTGTTCGTGGCTCTAACAACGAACCTCACCTGTGGGATTCCTATAATTTTCTTTTTTTTTTTTTTTCGAAATTGTTAACATTCGCGAGATTTTTTCTTATGGGATTTATTAATAACAACAAAAACAACAGCAAAAAAAAGCAATCAAACAAACAAACAAACAAACGTGAGAAGGAGGAGGAGGAGGGAAAAAACGAGAAGTATAAAAAAAACTTCATTTTTCCCCCATTCGTTTTTAATAAAAAAAAAATTTTTTAATGTAACTCCCCTTCCCCCAACTTCCCCCCCCCACTCCACATCCATTTTTAATAATGTATGACGTAATGAAGTTAAAAAAAGTAAAAAAAAAAAAAAAAAAAAAAACAATAAATTCAAGAAGGAATCGAAAATAAAGTAGTTAAAATAAACATGAAATTCATTTTATTATGAAATCATAATAAAAAATTGAACCTCTTTATCAGGTTGTTTTTTCTAAAAAAAAAGGTTTTAATATAAACATTCGATCGTAAATTTTATTATTATTATTATTATTATTATTATTATTATTATTATTATTTACGTTCGACTAGTTAACATCATTATCTTTTGCAATTTTTTTTTTTTTATTTATTTTTACCGGAAATGATGAAAAAAATGATAAAAAAATTTTTTTTATTTTCTCGTAAGGTGCCATAATATTTGGTTCTGATCAAGAAGTTGCTGGAGTTATGAGAGCAGTACGTCGTTGTAATGCAACCGGAAGTTTTTCCTGGATCGGTTCGGATGGCTGGAGTGCCAGATCGTTAGTATCAGATGGAAACGAACCCGAAGTAAGTAATTTAAAAAATTTTTTTCATATAAAATTAAAAGAAATCCCTGTTGGAAACCTTATTCATTTTACTTTCTCGAATGGAATGATTCGAAAAATGAATAATAATAATAATTAAAAACGATAATAATAATAATAATCTTCTTGTTATTAATTTTGTTTAAAATTTATTAAGTTTTTCTTTTTTTTTGACACTTTTGAATAATTTTTTTTTTTTTTAATAACATTAATAAAAATCATCATTATTAATAATCTCTTTTACTGGAGAAAAAAAAAAATTCTCGTTTAATTCCATGATAATTTATTATTATTATTATTATTTTTCGAGTGAAAAATTTAGTGGATTTTTTATATCAAAATGTTTAATTCGTTCTAGGTTTCCTTTATTTAAAAAAAAAATTCCATTAAAAAATTTTCCTTTGAATTTTCCTTTGTGGTCCGTCGAGGATTTCATAACTTTTACGGATTTTTTTATTAAGTTTTCCTCACAAATTCCGTTCAAAACTTTTCATCGATTTATACGATATGGCTTCCGGTGATGTTGTTTTTTTTTTTTTTTTAAAGATGATCTAAATATTTGTTATAATTATTATTATTATTATTATT